GAAGAGCGAAAATTTATTTGATTTAGATATTATTTCCTATATCAATGTAAAAATATAAATCTACGTATTTTTCTTATCTTTTAAAAATACGATTTGGTGCATTTTAGATATGTTCTTTAAAAGTGTCTCCTTGCAACAATGATATATTATATAACTAGATGTCTAACTTAATTACGAAAAGTGGAGCCCCTTTTTGCCCTTTTTACAAATGGCGGAATAAATTTGTAAACAAATATTTTTAACTTTTCTTTTCCTTAATGAAGTAAATATATTTTAAATTTAAATAGTATTTACGTAAAAGTGTTAAGCGGAAATTGTAATAGTTTTAAAATAATAATTTATGATTCCTTAATTTATTTTCGATTAAAAATTTGAATAGAAAAATAAAACGTCTTACTATTTTGAAACATTTTTATGAATTAAAATACTTTTTAATAAACATAGGCTCATAAAAAAACTTTTAAAATTATTTTATAATTGTTAAAACGTGTTTTTGAATTATCTTTAATTTATTGGGAACTTTGACATTTTTAACTTTTCTTCTACTCTTCGGCTTCAGCTTTTGCCCTTTTTACAAATGGCGGACTATTGTTATAAACAAAAAAAAGCGACTTCACTTTTTGTCCAATAAAATCCCGCAAGTTAGACATCTAGTTATATAATATATCATTGCCTAGCAATAACTAAATTTATTTTCAGATTGTAAAAACTAGTTTGCGTGACGCTTTGGAAAAACTAATGGTATGTTTAAGGCAAAGGAACTCCTATCATGACCCAGAGGCAAGAGATTGTTACCAAAAGTTAAGAGAAATACCATGCGAGGAACTAGATGAAAAAGGTGTTTGTCACTCAGAACGTTACAAAATATTCACCCACCGAAAAAGTTTGCAACGTTTGCTTGAACAACACAGTATATTTATTGCAAACAATCCTGAAACTAAGCTCATAGTAGACAAAGATGAATCTTCTGATTCATCTATGTCTACTATGTCATACTCATGTCAAAAGGTAAAGGAAAATTACTCCGTTCAAAATCTCGTCTACAACAAAGAACTTTGTATATACTTTGCGAATTCGCTTAGTGATGAAAAATTCTTCCGTAGAATAAAGACTTTCCAAAATTCTGATGGCGCCGCTGCAAATGATGTTAAATATCACTTAAAATGTTGGGTAAAGAATTGGATGATGTTGGATGATGTTGGGTAAAGAATTGGATGATATTCGACGGGTTATCGCAAATGTAGAAATTATTGGTTTAGTCTATTTGAACTTAAAAGAAAATGGTTTTGCTATTGGTATGAATAACATCAATAGCAAAACCAACTTGATTGGGAATAATGACCAGACTGAGATTAGTTATAAACGTTTCTTAAAGAAACTTCTACAAAATAACGTGCCAGGAATAATTTTTTCAAGACCTCCGTGCCCTAGAAAGTTTGAACAGCTTTGCTCTAGCAAATATCAAGCAAAGGCAGTAGATAACTTTAAAAACAATCCGGATGATTAAACAACAATTTTCGAGGCAGCAAAAATAATTCGGAAAGAAATCCTGCAGCAAAGAAAGTGGAAGTTTGACGGAAATTTCACTGGTTTTGATACTCCAACGTCATTATTTTCTTTGTTAAGGTGGGTTATACTTGGACCAAAATAAAATGTAGACTCGTGTTATGTTGAAAAAAAAATCCATCGTGTTGATAACATTTTGCAAATTATTGTAAAGGCATCAAAAAGCAATAACCAAATCTCACATTAATCAAAAACGGATGATGATTTTAGAGATGTTACTGAAGCACCTTTTTTAGTCGGCTTAGGATTTCATGTGCATAAGTTAACCCGTAATAAGAAGCTGGTGAACTGCTTGGCATATCTTGGACTTTCTATTTGCTATGATAGTGTTATAAAGATCGAAAATAGTTTAGGAAACGCTGTTATTGAAAACATATAAACAAATCAATGCGCGTTTGTACCTCCTAATATTCAAATAGGAATGCCATTGCACTTTGCTATTGATAACATTGACTTTAAGAACGACAGTGTATGTATGCATTTATGTATGTATGCATCTATCCCTGTAAAAAAAAAGGTAGCCATTTGATAGAAGACGTGTTTAAAACGTCTAAATCACGTGTTACAACAA